GCTGCGTGCTGTGGGTGAATGCAACCCCGGGTGGAGAGGAGAGGGTGGCAGGCGAAGGGCAAGCCAGGTGAGCTCAGGAAGCATTTTCTTGGATTGCAATAACAAACGCACCTTGAAGGAGCATTAGCAAAAGCAGGGGTTTCTGGGAAGGCTATTGATCTTACTCAGTTGTTTTTACCCTGCAGGTCACAACCCTTTAGTGTGCCATGAAATCAATTTAGTGGGTCTCAACTAAAAAGAAGATGCCATGGAATGGAATGGAATGGAAATTCCCCACCAGATCCAGTAAGAAGGTTCCCAGGAGGCGCACCCTGGGCTCCCGGGCCCCGTGGTCAGGGGAACGTGGTTCCTGACCCCTACCTGGTCCGGTTCCTCCCACCCCCCTACCTGGAGGTCCTTACCAGAATCTGAGGTCAGAGGGAGGAGAAACAAGGCCCAACTAGAGGGGTGCTCTTCACCACCACCAGGACGACTTGTCCAGAAGAGCCCAGGGGTCAAGTGTCAAAGCACCCAGGAGCCACTCCACCGGCTGCCCTGTGCTGAGATGCTGTGGACAGGGAACACGCTGGAAGCCGGATCTGAAAGCTGGATTCTGGCCAGTGACCGGCGGTGGGGCCTGCTCTTGGGTTGTTTTATGAAAGCAAGGAAAGATTCTTCGGGCTCACAGTCCCGTCCACCCCTGACCACATGTCACACCGCGCCCCCTCCCGGGAAAGCGTCTATCCGCCTTCTCCCAGAAACCTTGAACACCGGGATTGGCCCCACTTGGCTGTGGCCATTCCTGTGGCGTGGACTGAATTGTGATTTGCACAGAAAGGCACAGCCCTGGCACCGGTGCCCGAGGGCCACAGTCACGCTGATGAGGTCACAGCAGACCCCTGGCTGCCCTGAGAGCCGAGCCCCGCCGCGGTACCCGCAGATCACGCACGGCAGCGGCGGCCCGGCTGGGCTTCCGTGGGCTCTGCGTTGGCAGCTGGGTGTGCTCACACCAGGCCTGTAACAGCTCCGCGGGCCAGTCAGTGTGGCCCTGCTTTTCCAGTGAGGGAGGGAGACTCCAAAAGCCATCAGGTGCCAAAGTCACTTGTTCAGCAAATGCAGAGCAGGGCCTCTGCCCAGGCCCACTTGGGTCCTGAGGCCAGAATCCCAATCTCTAAGCATGGAGCTGCTGAGAGTCTAGGATTTAGGGCCCGGTTTAAACCCTGGGCCAGTTCTCTGGCTCTCGCCGCCAAAGAGGGCAGGAGTTGCCTCCCGGAGGTGGGAGTCTGGGCCTCTCCTCCCCCCTCTGCGCCGGGGCTGCCTCTGGCCTGCGCTGAGACCGGGACAAGGGCTGGGAATCCGCCAGCCAGGGTGACATGGACTGTCCAGAGCGGGGCCTGCGCCAGGACAAGGCCCAGGCACAAAGCCAACCGGAAAGGAAACTCCCTCCCAGGATGGCGCTCTCCGCCTTCCGTGTGGGAAAGCGCGGGCTCCCCCAGAGCCCAGACAGTTTCCAGATGGTTTTGCACTAAAGACTTTCCCAGAGCATCTCGGGAACTAGGGCGATTCGGGCAGGGACAGACCTCTGGGGTGCCACTGCTCACCAACCCCACGCGCTCATGCCCCCTGCTGCTTCAGGTGCCAGGGAATTCTCCACTCCTTGGAGACCTGGGTCATGGCCTTTGCATTCACAATCCCGGGCACACTCTTCCACGTCTGCCTGTCTCTCGAGACCGCACACCTACATGCACCTCATTCCTCCCATTTTTCTCCTTCTCAACCGGGAAGCTGTCTCAGCATGTACATCAGCAGCGCAGGGAAGAAACCCCATCCCCACACACTCCTCCGGGTGTGGTCTCAGCACCTGGAACGCAGTTGCCGCCAGCTCCTATACAGTGCGCAGGCCGGGGTCTTTGGGAAAGACAAAAAAATGCTATCGTACCTGATAAGGGAAAGGTACTCAACAAATATTGCTGAATGAATAAATGAGTGAATTAGTTAATAACCCATCAGGGAGTAAAATCTTTCTTCCATGGAGCCATCGCAAGGGTCCTATCTAGTATTCTGCTAGAAAGAATGGGGTGGGGGTCTGCAGGGAGGTCTTCCTGGAGGAGGTGCCACACGAGAAGGGCAGGCTTAGCACAGCATGGGGTGGGTGAAGGCAGATGATACAAGACATGATACAGGAATCACGAGAAGGGGAGTAAAGTCTTTATTTGGGGGTAGACCTCAAGCTTTTGCTGGCCTTTGTTGAAATAAAATTCTTCAGGTGGAGGTGGAGGGTGGAATTCCACTTCAGACATGTCATGAGGGAAAAGGTTTCCCGGGACAACATTTTGATAGAGGGCAAGAGGAGAGAAAGTTCTAGAGCACGGGTATGTTTCCCCCAAGATACTTAGGCTAAGTCAAAAGCAAAATGGAGCCCTAGGCCCTTGGGGAAGAAGGCCCAAGCCTTCCCCTCCTCACAAGTGGTGCATTACCCATTACAAAGCTCGTGTAGACAGGGTCCTGGCAGGTGGGTGTTCGCTTATTCAAGAAATACCCGGCACTTCCCGCTTGAGGGGTCGGGGCTAATTGGCTTTTGCAGAGGAAGTGGCCCCTGGGTCCTGCCGGCAGCTGGTACATGGGGCTCAGGGCCCTGTGAGGGGGCAGCACCGACATTGGTGAACTTGAACTTGCACCCGGCAAAAGACCAGATGAATAAAGGGACATTCTCAGGCCTCACCGTCCACCAGGGCGAGGGTCTAGTCACTGACTCTGTCACAGGGTCGGATCCTAACATTTCAACTCAGATTTTTTTTCAAAAGGTGATATCTTGTAAAATGTGGTTTCTTTAGTAGCTCTGGCTGAGTCGGAGATCCCACACGTGCATTGCGTGCTCGCCCTGGGCCGGGCATGCGCTGAGGGACACTTTCCTCTCGTTGAAACTTCTCCAAAATCCTGGGAGCCAGGTACTGTTATTTCTGGGTTTTGGCAGATGGAGAAACTGAAGCACAGAGAGGTTATGCAACTCGCCCGAGTCACACCGCCTGCTGCGACACTGGAGTTCACACCCAGGAGTCTGGCTCCAGAGCCACGCCGTTGACTACTGCTCCTCGTTGCTCTTGCTTGTGTTGTGGGCGTGGGCTAGGGTGGGAACAGCAGCTTGAACAGGCCAATTAGTGGAGGATTCATTGGTGAGGTGACAGGAGAGACCATTCCAGGCCAAGGTGGTCCTGCAAGCTGACCGAGGAGTCAGGCCAAACTGTCTCCCTCACCTCCACCGTCCTGCCACCAAGGTCAAAAACCCCCACAGCCCAAAGCAGGGTTCCTGGTCAGGTCAGAGTACTCGGTGCTCCCCCCAACCCAAAGCAGGAAACCGAAGATTCCCCAGAGATGCCAACCCTGGCAGCCACATGAGCTGGCACAGCCGCTTGCCTTTTGGTTTCTCTCCGCTGGCCACGGTGACTAATTTTAACTGGCCCTGCTGATTCATCTGAGGTGGTTGGGAACCCCCTATCCACCCCCTCCCCACCCCACCCTTAGCCACAACCACAGCCACTCCTCGGGGCCTGTTGCGGACCCACATTCTTAAAGTTCAAAGTCATTCCTGATCTGCTCCAAGTCCACATGCCAGCCTCACCCTTGACCATGAGCTTCACAAACCCCCTGACCTGGCTAAACTGGTTGGGGAGGGTGAAGGGTAAAGAGAGGGAGAGAGGGGCAGGGAGGCTCCTGAATATTCCATGTACATACCCACCTCCCTAACGCTTTGCAGTTCTGTTCCAGCACCCACTTTGGAGGATGCCTTTCTAAACATCACGGGCACTATGAGGGTCTTCTCCTCGGCCCCTCCACCCACCCAGGGACCTCATCAGCAGTGATGGGAACTTCACTGGAGGATGAGGCTTGAAACGGCTTCTACAAGTTCCCAGCCTCTACCATGGGCTCTGCGGGATTTAGGACACCGTGTGTATGAAAGTGTTATTTCCAGCTCCTCTTTCCCATCTTTCCACTAGATTAGAAAATTTCTTATCATATCTGGCCATCACTGCTGCAGACACTGCTGTGTGGCTCTTGCAGGCACACGGAGACCCTGTCCCCAAACTACTGGAAATTGGCACTGCCACGTGGCTGGGATCTGGCTGGAGGAAGGTGGTAGGGATGGCGAGCATCACTCTTGGGAGCAACCTCTAAAACCTCTCAGTTGGATTTCTCCCTCCTGTTGTCTGCCTGCCAGATGCGGAGGGACCAGAGGTGTCTGAAGTTCTTGGGCTCAAGCCTGGGTCCCTGAATCACCGTGTGGAGCAGAGCCAGCTCACAAGGCCTGTGAGGTACCAAGCCAATAAAGGTGCTATTAAGAGCTAATCAGCCACTGAGAATTGGAGTTGCTTGTTTTGGAGAATAAAAATGTGCCACCCCAAAATATGTCTTTTGGGCAAAAAAGAAAAAAAAAAAAGCCTTCATGGGAGGGCTCTGCAGGCTGGATGGAGCCTGCTTTTGAAAAGGATATTTACTTGGAACTTTCTCCTCTAAGGATGGGACCAGAAAGACCCGTCCCCTCATCTCTTTTCAAAGGAGAAGGCAGGACTTCTCTGCATACAGTTGTGTACTGTGCCTTCCCCGGGAACCCCTCCTCACCTTTCCTGCCCACCCCCTTCTGCCTCAGCTGTTTACGAGGCATGGGAAGCTCTGGGGCAGTTAGTCGTGCTGGGCTCTCCCGTGTGGAAGGGAGCATGTCTGCTCTTACTAAACTTCTTTTCGACTTTCTTTCATCAATCTGTCTGATGCTTATTTGATCGTTAGCCTGGAGGGTCTGGGGTGGTTTCCGGTGTGTCCTGACACTAGTTACAGCATCGAGTGCTCTGACTAATGCTCTAATGTGTCCCATCTGCGCGTCAGCCCCCACCCTGGCCGGGTGTAAGACGTCCTTGAACCTCCTCCTCACGCCCCACACGGCTTCCCTCTCATCCCACCCTCTGTCTGCAGACCTGACCCTCGGACTCCCCTCGTGTAAAGTCCCAGGGCTCCCTGCTGTCCTTGGAGGCTTTCTTCTGCATCTCTTCCTCTTCTCAGTCTTAAATGTTGGGGTGCTCCCCAGGGTCTTCCTCCTCCTCCCTGGGCATCCTCCCCTGGAGTCATCCCTGCTGCCTCCTGGACACCAGCCCCGCCCTCGCCCTCCGTCTGACCGGGTCAGTTTCTCCACATTGCCAAGTCCATCCAGGCTGTTCCCTGCTGTCCCGGGGAGGAGGGGGTGCGCGAGGCAAGTCTTTTCTTAGCAGAATCCCAGAGAATGAAGTCCAGACCCGCTACTGGGAACCACAGAGACAGCCCCAGGGGCCCAGGTGGGCTTTTAAGAAAGAAACGACTCTGCCGCGGTGCACTGTGTTCGCCTTGGGCCGGACTAGGGGAAACCCTCCTGGGGCCTGGGGAGGGGTTGGGTGCTCACTTTGTCTCCCTACCCACCACCCCCCAGCAGGGGTGCCTGGAGTCAGCGTCCTGGGGCTGTAGTGAAGACCCCAGTCTGATGGTTTGTAAAGGGAAGGGGGGAGGCCTGAGAAAAGGGGAGGGAAGCGCACAGGGCTCCAGGGTGCTGGAGGGAACAGGAGGAGGAAGGGAGTGGTGCGGACAGCCGGGCTCTGCCCCTCTCCCAGGAAGTGCAGCTCCTTTCTGTCTTCTGCCAACCAGAAGTGACTGTTTTGCGCCCTCTCCGTGCCCCACGGTGGCCTTGGGGAAAGTGGGGGTCTTCCCTTCTGCACAGGGACACCCCTGACTTTCCCGGTGGTGGGAACCTGGCTGTGGGCACTGTCGTGGAGGGGACGGCGAGGGGGTGGGGATGCTGGGGGGATGGAGATCCTGCAAAACATGGGGCAGCGCAGCCTCCAGAGGCGAGGGCCTCCTTCCGCCTGCTGCACGGATGCCCCACAGAACCCCAGAAGCAGCTGCCCCCAAAGGAGACTCCTCTTCCCTTCTGCCCCCTCAGGGAACCTCCCGCCTGAGTAAAGTGCACCCCCACCCTCTCAGTCACTCAGCCAAGCCTCCCCTGGTCCTCTCTCCCTGCTTTACCCCTCGACGGCCTCTCCCTGGCTCAGAAATCCTCCTCCATGCCAGGACGTGGGCGCCACGGCAGCCTCTTAAATAGCTTTCTTCCTCAAACCAGCCCCTAAACATGGGGCCGTGGTGGCCCAGGGGGTGCGTGTGAGCAGCGGCGGGCCAGGCAGGGGCATGTGGGAACATTTGGGGTGTCCTGTGCCCTGACAGGGGTCTGGGTGGTGCGGTGTATGCATTTGTCAGAAGTAGGGGAGCCTCAGATGTGCCTTTCATTGGATGGCATTTTCCATAAAGGGGGACGGCCTGTCCAGCATCAGCCCTCCTGGACCGCAGGCTGAAGCATGTAGGGACAAGTGGGCCGGGGTCTGGGGTTCACTCTGCCGTGGAAATCTGGAGGTGGAAGGCGCGGGGGATTGCACAGGAATCAATCGAAGGAGTTTAGTAAAATGTCAGGGGTGGAATCAGGTGTCGCATATTCAGGTTCATTCTAAGATTCTTTCAGCTCCGCTGCATGTTTGAAAGATGCCGGCAGAAAATGTCGGGTGAAATGTCTCCTGAACACAGACCTGTCCCCGCCCTGCCAGTCCCGTCTGGAACTACTGTGGAGTTTCTAGGACAACCAACCAGAGCCCGTCCTTGCAGCTCTCCTGAGAGAAACTTAGCTGCTGCGGCCCCCCCACGGCCTCCAGTGGGCCGCATTCTCCACGGCGCCCTCCCTCCCTCCACCACGGAAACCCCAAAATATTTTGTACTTCCCTGCATGTGTCATGCGTTTTAAGACTCCCGTGGCAGAAATTACTAGTTTTATCCCATTTACATTTACCCCTTCTTCCAAAGTAATACAATGGCCAACTTTTAGCTCAGGATTTGGCCAGCAGTAAACGTTGCATTTCTCAGTCTCACTTGCACAGACCTTTGGCCACATGACATGTAGTGAGAGAAGGTATATTGTTGACAACTTCTAAAACGTGTCCCTAAAGAGAGCGGACACAAGGTTTGCTTTACCCCTCCTGGCTTTCTGCTGCTTAGAATGATGATGTGATGGTCGGAACGCAGGCAGCCATCTTGGGCAAGAAGGCACAGGCTCTGTGTGTAATACGGCAGAATACAAAGGAGGCGGAGACTGAGTCCCTGACATTTGTGTGCCTACCAGCCCCGGACCATGACCTCTGGCTTCTATATTGAAGAGAAATGAATATCCTTTTGTGGAAGCCATGATTATGTGTATGTATTTCCCCACCACTGTGGGTCTGCTACTCCTAGGCAGCCTATTCAGCCGCCATTTTGTCACCTAAACAAGGTCAAAGTGGTCTGGCCAGTTAGGAACAGGAGCCCAACCCTTAAGCCCTTCACATCAAACAAAAGCACAAAGCTGGATCACACTGGGAAGGTTGTGCGTCACAAGGTATGTCCAGAATGCCCAGGGGGCTGAGGACCGATGCATAACACATACTCCCGATTTATACATATTTATACATCACGAGGTATGACCAGGAATGCCTGGGGGGCCGAGGACCGATGTATGACAAGGGACCCCAGAAGCTGATCAGTGGAGTGCCTTGTTGATAAGATTAGAACCATGGCTGGGGATTAGGGTGTATCATCAAGTAGATTAGAAGTGCCCGGAGGGCAGACTCACAATCCCTAATCTTCTATACCCTTCCCTTTCTTTATTTTTTTTTTACAGGCATGCTTTATTTATTTGTTTGCTGGTTTGTTTGTTTGTTTTTTTGTTTATACATGCACTGGGCACAGTCAGAAGCGCGGGAGGGTGAGAGAATTCACCAGAGCCAGAGCGGGGAGCAGAGCAGGCAGAAGGACCGAAGCACACCGCTGAGGGGAGCAGCGGGCGGCAGGAGAGGTCTGCGCGCCATGCGGGACCCTCCTCCGGTGGCCGGGGAGCAGCCGGGATCGAACGGCGCCGCAGAGGCCGCGGGCAGCTTCGCAACCCAGCGCTCAACCGCTGCGCCACCGGGGAGGCCCGCTTCCCCTTTCTTTAATCTCCTTACAATCAATTACGTGTGTCAATAAAAGGGCCAGGATCTTGCTCTTCAGCAGCATCCTGCATTGTGCAGCCTGCTCCACGACTCCCGTTTGTCAGTGTGGTGTTGTCCAGCGAACACACCATCATCCCTTATAACCCTCACAACCTCAGAAACCTCACTTTCTTTTTTTATTAGTGTCTTCTAATATTTTTTCTAGTACTTTGTTTTGTTGGATGTCTCACATGTAAATATTTGTTTTTGACATTCTGACCTGCTTCACTATACATAATTCCCATGAACTCCTTCCCTTTTCTATAAATGGCAGTATTTCCCATTACCTTAAGGCTAAATAATATCCCATTGGGTGGATATACCACATCTGTTTGAGCCAGTCCTCGATCAGTGGGCACTTAGGATGCATCCATGTACTGGCTACTGTAAATAGTGTTGTAATAAACATTGAGAGCAAGGACCATGGCTTGTTCATTTAATTCATAACATCTCTTTTTCTGTATTTCTGTGGAATCTGTGGTAATTTCTCTCTCCTTTCTATGATTGTATACTCACTTCTTTTCTTGTTAGCCTAGTAAGAAGTTTATCAATTTTGTTTATCTTGGGGAAAAAAAAACAACTGTTAGTTTCACTAATCTTTTGGGTGGTCCTTTTGCTGTCTACTACATTTTGATGTCGACCTCCTCGTCTCCAGGCCGAGCCAGGGCCCGCCTGCTGGTCGACCTCCTCAGCCACCAGTCCAAGCTGAATCCTGACTGCTGGTCGACCTCCTCAGCCTCCAGTCTGGCCGGGGGCCGCCTGCTGGTCGAACTCCTCAGGCTCCAGGCCAATCCAGGACCGCTTGCTCCTTGACCTCCTCAGCCGTCAGGCCGAGGTGGGGCCTCTTGCTGGCCGACCTCCTCAGTCTCCACTCCAAGCTGAATCCCGCTGCTGGTCGACCTCCTCAGCCTCCAGTCCTAGCTGAGACACCACTGCTGGTCATCCTTCCCGCCTTCAGGCCGAGACAGGTCCTGGTGCTGAGCGACCTCCTCAGCCTCCAGCTGTGCCGGGGCCGACTGCAGGTCGACCTCCTCAGCCCCAGGCAGGCTGGGGCCGACCTGCAAGTCCACCTCCTCAGCCCCCAGGCTGGGCTGAGGCCATCCTGCAGATCGACCTCCTCAGCGCCCAGGCTGGGCTGAGACCAGCCTGCAGGTGGATCTACTCAGACTCCAGGCTTGCTGGGGCCGGCCTGCAGGACGAACAAGTCAGCCCACAGGCTGGGCTGGGGCCGGCCTGCATGTCAACCTCCTCAGACTCCAGGCTGGATGGGGCCGGCCTGCAGGTCGACCCCCTCAGCCTCTGGCTGGGCTGAGACCGGCCTACAGGTGGAACTCCTCAGCCCCAGGCTGGGCTAGTGCCGGCCTGCAGGTAAATCTCCCCTAGAATGGGCTGAGGCTGGCCTCCAGGTTGACCTCTTCAACCTCTGGCTGGGCTGAGACCTGCCTGCAAGTCGACCTCCTCAGCCCCCAGGCTGGGTTGGGGCCAGCCTGCAGATAAACCTTCTAAGCCCCCAGGCTGTTCTGGTGTCGGCCAGCAGGTGGACCTCCTCTGGCCCTAGGCTGGGCTAGACTCGGCCAGCAGGTCTACCTCCTCAGCCCCCAGTCTGGGCTCCGTCCGACCTGCAGGTCGACCTCCTCAGATTCCAGGCTTGCTGGGGCCGGCCTGCAGGTCTACCTCCTCAGACTTTAGGTTGTGTGGAGCCGGCCGGCAGGCGACCTCCTCACACTCCATGCTGCATGGGGCCGGCCTTTAGGACTACCAAGCAGCCCCCAGGCTGGGCTGGTGCCGGCCTGCAGTTGGACCTCCTCAGTCCCCAGGCTGTGCTGGGGTCGGCCAGCAGGTCGACTTCCTCAGCCCCCAGGCTGGGCTACAGATGGCCTGCATGTTGACCTCCTCAGACACCAGGCTGGGCTGGGTCCGGTCTCCAGGTCGACCTCCTCACCCTCCAGGCTAGACTGAGACTGGCCTGCAGGTTGACCTCCTTAGCCTCCAGACTGGCTGGGGCTGGCCTGCAGGTGGACCTCCTCAGCCTCCAGGCTGCGCCGGGGACTCCTGGTGGTCGACCTCCTCAGCCTCTAGTCCATGCTGGGTCCCGCCTGCTTGAC